TTGTTTGATCATGTATGTAATAATGTAATTGTAACATCCATCATAAAGATTTCAGAAATATTTAGTCTAGGCTTTAGTTCAATGGAGCTACCTCAATTTACTGCCTTCATAAAGGGAAATAAGATTCTTTGACAGGCTGTCTTACTAGCATAGTATCAGCTTCTTGGCCAGAAAATATTTCAAAAAATTCCTGTTTCAAAAACACAAAGAAATGAGACAAGTATTTTTTTTTTTTAACAGCTATTATAGAACTGAACTAAAATCCATAATTTAATGTATGTCTACGAGAAGCTGGGTATAAGAACCAACATACAGTACTTAAACACTGAAGAAATGTATAAAGAGAAAAACCACTCACCATTCATATTATGACAAATCATGACCTGTAATGACTCAGAATGCTTTTTTAAACAATGAACTCTTAACTTCTGAATCACTGGACAGTCATCTCAAAGTATTAAATGAAATAATTATTATTGATCTTTTTATGCAAAGCAGTCCTCCAATTGCAAACTATGAAAGGCCAACATGGTAGTGTATGCCTGAATCTGCTCACAGCTTGAAACTAATAGTCTGAAGGAGATGAACTCAATGGTGCATTAGATCCAGAGAATATATTCAGGTACACTTATGAGAAACAAATTTCAACAAGAAGAGTCAACAAAGGTTCAAGTAGGTCATATAATACACTCCAGTAAACAAACTCTCAATCACAAGCTTTTAAACAGTGGGCATTCAGGGGCCAGTCCAGTCTTTTATTTCTTTATTTCCTGCAGCAACCCATAATCCCAAGAGACTACCTCTATGCATTTGCATTACTTCACTTGAATATTCTGATGCCCAGACAATTTTCCTTTTTTCCTCACTTATATTCACTTATATTGACTTGCTGTAGATACACATATGCTTAAAAGAAGTCATTGACCCCTTCAAAATTGTGATCTTCAAGTCAGTGACACCTTTTAAGATTACATCACTTCCATGTCACAAGACTTTTCTTTGAAAGAAATGAGGCTTTGAGTCACTGATAATAAGGGTTTAAAGAAAGAAATACAAAGAATTTTCTGATGGAAGGTAGCTAAAACAGCCTCAGTACTGGCTGGTTACTTCTTCAAAAAGGTAGGAAACTAGAGAGAGACCAAAGTCTAGAGGCAGAAAAAAGCCGCTCAGTTCAGCTGCCTCTGAAGCAAGGAGTCACCCAGAGCCGCCTAGTCTCAGATGCTTAATAAACCCTTCAGCTCTCATAGGTGTGATCCTGACAGTGTCACAGCTGACACAGACATACAGGTTCCTCTATGCTACATTTTCTGCACATGATATCTTGCCAGGGATTTCCAGTTCTATGAGTGCTGTACTTTTTTCTAACAGTAACTGAAGCATCTCCAAGTGTCAAAGCTAGGCTGAAGGGGCAGCTGTATGAACATTTTGCAGACATCCTCTTACAGGAAAGGCAAATGAACACAGGAATTAGATGCCTTGTTTTAGTAGCAAAACTCTTCTGGGAATGTTCCTAAATGGTATCAAACACTTAAGTGACCTAACTTCTGGCTTTCACAGGTGACTTTGTCCTGTACAAATACTGGATGAGAACATGCTGGGGCATCCAGGGAAATGTTTATATCCTATGACTATTCTTTTCCACCTTCTTTATGTCTGGATCCTACTGTATTCCAGCCTAATGTTACTTGATCAGAAACAGCACAACTGGTCAACTAGCTCTGATATTTGGCAAGAAGGAAATAGGGAGATACACTCCATGCTGTTAGGGCACAATGACATTGATTACAATCATGTACTTATAAGCCCTGAGAATCTTTCCATGACTATTCTGACACAGCTGGATGATAAGGACATTTAAGCTGTGTGGAAATAAACTACTATTTCTAACCTGGCAAGGTCCAAGCAGAAGCCATGGAAGAGCAGGGACACAAACTGTGAAAATCAACAAGTTATGGGATGGAGAAAGTTATTTAGATGGCAGTTCCAATGCCAAGACACTAAAGATGGCCAGAGAGTCTGTCTCTGAAAATAGCACTCAGTCAGCTTTAGCTGAGGCAGAAACACATCTGGTTTGTTACAAGGTTCCCTTCATTTCCAGGGTTTTATATGAGACTAACCTAATTTATCCCATCCCTTTGTCTGCGAGGGTTTTTTTATGGGAGGAAGAGGGACAACAAAGGTAGTGATCTGCAGATCACCATATTCTATTTTTAAAATCTTTTCTTGTAGTATTCAAGCCATTTGGGTTCTGAGTGGAGTTTTCAGACACTTAAAAATACATGTGCATATATACACATGAGTGTATATACACACACATATATTTTTGTAGAGTGACTTTAATTAGCCGTAGTCAGGAGAGTGAGAAGAGAAAGAAGAACCTGGAAGTATTTTATTTTGATTGCAGTAAAACCTCTTTTGTTTGTATTTAAACATTCTTTATTCAAGAATATAAATGCTCCATTGTTTTTTATTTTCCAGTTTTCTCAAGATTCCTCCTCTACACTCCCTCTAGTGCCCTTAAGTTCACTTGCATCTACTCACCCCTGCTGTATTCACTTAGGATTTCACAGAACATTACTTGTTCAATTTTCTTAGCCTTTCCATAACCTACAGGAGAATTGCTGAAAGTTAGACTAACTTTTCTGGGTATTTTTCTCCCTGCAGTGATCAAATGAATTCAGATCAACAGATGAAAGAAAGAAAAAAAGTGTAAAATTAATTTTGAAACAGCATGTTGTACTTTGTTGGTTGGTAAAGGGGAGGACTTAATGTTGAGAAAGGAGAAAGATTTTGTTTTCAACTCTTTAAATGGAAGATTCATAAGCAATGGACAAGGAGGAAAGTTGTTCTAAAACACCACTTATGTGGCTTTCTTCCTCCTACTCACTCTAGCAAATACACATACTCCCTTCAGCATATACACACATTAATAACTAAAAGCAAGTGAGTAAGTGCAAGGTTTTCCTAGTCATCAAATAGGAAAACATTAGGACATAGGGACAGCAGCAACAGGTAGTTTCTGTTCATCTCATCCTTATGTTTCAATAAAAGAAAGAGAACAAAGAGGAGACTGGATTAATATGTTCTTTTAAAAAAGCCAGAGATAAATCAATTCCCTCCAAAGCAATATTTCCAAACAACATTTTGTTTCTCTCTCATAACTGCGGTTTTAGTGTTTCTTTTATATTACTTTGCCCATGGCCACAACTGAAGAATAGAAAAGACCTAAGAAAATGTGAAAATTAAGCAAAACTATTCCCAGGGTGTTTCTTCCCCCCTAGAATAAATTTGTACTGATTTAAAATTCAACATTCTAGATGCATTTCAGACTCAAAGCAAAACAAATGTCAATCCCTCAAATATCAAAAGTAAGCTGATGATATTCTCACACCTTGTCCCATCTTCGTGAAAGCAAATATTTAAAACAGAAAGAATGAAACAGCTTTGCCACTAGTCATCTAGATCTATGATCTTCTATTCATTATATTGAATACTATTCATTATATTGAATGCCTAGTATTCAATATAATGAATACTTTTATCATACTAAAAGTAAGATATTTGCTACAAAATCCTGTTCTATGGATAATATACAAACCAAAGTATTTTCATTGGATTAATAAGAAAAACAAAATAGATACAAAGTTATTTTAGGCCAACCCATGAAAACAAACGACCTTTATCTGCAAACAGAATGATTTCCTAAAAATGGTACAGAAATAGGCGTGCTCTGTCTCTGCACGACAGAAAGTTCTGCTTCAACTCATGTTTCACAAGGATGTAAAATTAAAATTGGACATTTATGACAATTTTGTTCACATATCACCCACTTAATCCACTTCAAAGGCAGAATCTTCTCATCATTCTTCCCCAAGACATCATAGTTGTCCCCTAGATGTTGACCCACCTTTATATACATAAAACAATTCTTGTCAGTCTATGCTTTTATACTAACATATTCACTGACATGTTTAAAAACATTTAGAAAAACAGTTACCCCATCTAATCACTTCTGTTCAACACCCATTTTTTATTAATGAAAGAAACGTATATTTGGAGGTCATAAATTTTATAATTACAGAATCACAGAGTCAGTTTCGTTGGAAGAGACCTTTAAGCCCAGCCATTAACCCAGCACTGCCAGATCAGCACCACATCATGTCCCTAAGTGCCACATCTGCATGTCTTTTAAATGCTTCCAGGGATGGTGACTGGGCAGCCTGCTCCAGCGCTTGATAACCCTTTCAATGGAGAAATTTTTCTTAATATCCAACCTAAACCTCTCCAGGTGCAACTAGAGGTTCTTTCTTCTTGTCCTATCACTCATTATCTGGGGGAAGAGACTGACCCCTAACCTCCTTTCAGGTAGTTGTAGAGAGTGAGGAGGTCTCCCCTGAGCCTGCTTTTCTCCAGACTAAACAACCCCAGTTCCCTCAACCTGCTCCTCGTGTGACTTGTTCTCTAGATCCTTCACCAGCTTCACTGCCCTTCTTGAGACATACTCCAGCACCTTAGCAACGACCTTCTTGTAGTGAGGGGCCAAAAACTGAACCCCGTATTCAAGGTACAGCCTCACCAGTGCCAAGTACAGGGGGATGATGACTTCCCTAGTCCTGCTGGCCACACTGTTTTTGATACAAGCCAGAATGCCATTGGCCTTCTTGGTCACCTGGGTACACTGCCAGCTCACAGTCAGCCAGCTGTCGACCAGAACCCCCAAGGCCCTTTTCCACCAAGCAGCTTTCCACATATGCTGTTACTCGTGTTTGTTTCATTGTCTTATATGTAATTTACAATGTATAAATATCTGCTAAAGTTCAGTAATCTTGAATTATTTAATTGAAACAGAAAGATATCAACTCCTGATTCTTACACTGAATTAGTACATTCCAGCAATAGAAATCAGATGCACAATTAGTGTTTCTTCCACAACAGTTTTGCTCCTAATTTCTCATTATATATCGTAAGCCTACATTAAGTGCTTTAAAATTCAGACTTACAGTGCTGTCAATATAGGCTTCAGTCCATACTACATCGTGCTCTTGGTCAATAACCTTTGGTCGGCTAAGAACGTGAAGATATTCCATGACATTCTCTTGAACATCAGCTAAGGTAGAGATCTGAGTAAAAAACCCTGTCAAAACACACAATTCCAAGTTATAAACCAGAAAGAAGAAAGTAAAGAAGATTACAACAAGGAGTATGGATGTATTTTATGTCTGTTATGGTTTCTGCTTGTAGATTTCCAAAGAAATACAAGAAAGGAATGTTTTCATAAGAAGCAGCCTCCAAAAGTAATAACTGGTGAAAACATCAGCCTACAAAACCTTTAGCCAATCTTGAAGGACTGTTCCCAGTATTGCTAAGGACCACTGCACTGTCTGTCCTGAACTCTCAATTTCCAGAAAACATTTGTTGTTTAATGGTAAAGAAGTCTGAGTTATTTTTAAATATTGCATACTTTAAAAATTAGAACTGGAATTACCTTTGCCAAACAATGTCTCATTCAGCCTGTCTAGTTTCAAGAAACATTACAGTTTAGAACTACAAACAAAACAATAGTTGCATATGATCTAAAATGTTTATCCTTCTAGAATATGACCGTACATTAGATAATAACGATACGTTATTTATAAGTGGCAAGTCACAGAAAATGTAGACTACAACCAGAATTGCTTGGCTTAGTGATCAAAGCTTTGTTAATCCTTTAAAACATCTCCTACAACCTGAAAGCATTGAGAACAGCAAAGGCCACAGCTTTTTGAGCTGTCACCACTTCCTTTTCAGTGCTTAGATGCCAAATCTTTATACATCACAAACTTGGCCTCTGGAGCCCACATCATGCAAGGGTGACAAAGGACTGACAAATTTCAAGGCTATCATTTCATCAGGCCTTATTTAAATGTGTCACTTCCCCTTCATATACCTTCCTTTTCTTTAATGAGAAAAGACCAATATGGAATCTTCATGAAAGAGACTTTGGTACAATTTTAGTCTTATGACAAGACCACAGTTTCTGTGGAGCTGGAATATTAAGCTTCAGCAGAAAACATGGCAGCTGCAAAGAACTTTTGAGCTGTGTTTATTGTAGACAGGGCCAATTTTGGCAAGATTGCAAAGGTGCTCTGCAGTCTGAATGTTAGAAATCCCTGATTCAATACAACTGCCAGTAATTCATGAATTAAAGAATTGATGTTTCTATATACGCTTCATCTATGCATTAATTAAAATGCAGTGTAAAAATAGTCTAGCAGATATCTGTAAAATTAAATGAGTCATAACAGTAACTTAATGCATATTTTCAGCTTAAGAAAACACAGAGGTAGTATTTTGTTTATTTTTTCAAAACCAATTTGATTATCGTATGCTAATAAATATTCCTAGTACAGTACTCATAATATAGTATACCATTCAAATATTCAATTTTCCATTTACAGATTTATTTTTTTTTCCTGTTAAGTCTAGCGTTATGTGAGGACATTAACTGACTATGACATATCATCAAGCTTCAAGTCTTTCTTCAAAACTGGGCTTTTTCTTTGTCTAAGGTTCTGAAAGCTTTTTCAGCCACAGAGTAAAATGACTGCTATAAGTTTAGTAAGGAAAACGCTACTTGAGAAAGCAGGATTATATGTACACAGTGAAAAAAACATTATAGTGTACTTTCATGAATTATTGGCTTAGAACACTTAGAGGAAAACATAAGGTGTACATTGCTCATTCTGAAATGCTACCTGCTCCAATTTTGGGTCCCCTAGGTATGTTTCTTCCTCCTGTGAGTAATAGGGGACACTTCAATCTATACAGTCCTTTTAATTTGTTGTAAATGTCAACACGTAGTCAAAAGATGCCAATATGAGCTACTCACATAGAGAATCTCATAAATTATATACATACACACGTATGTATGTATATAAACATGCTATGGTTTATAATACTTCTAATCAAGGATTCAAATTACTTAAGAACTGTGTGGACCACTCATTTTAGAGGTGATGACCTACATTTCTCTAAGGAGTTCGGAGTGCCTGAATTTTGGTACGTTTTATTTCAGAAAACTTACAAGGCAGTCGATATTCAGAGTCCGTATTCAGCACTGTTTGCAGGTTTCAAGTTACACACTCAAAAGCACAGGCTACTCAGAAATTCAGAAAAATTACACAGAAGCACAAATAGAATAATTAGCCTTTTTCCTTCCTTCCTCCATCTTAAGACTAGTGTCGTGCCGTGGTTTGGCACAACACCATGGGTTTTACACCTTCTGTTTACCCCAAACCAGGACAATATAATGGTTGTAAGTTAGAACCACAACATTCGAAGGAAAGAGCACAAACTCTGCTCATTTCTCTGTAGGAGATTTAAAGCAGGGGATCTCCACGTACTCCTTTTCTCTTTTTAGCAAACATATTTTCAGTTGTCTCCATGGACAAGCTTTCAGTTGTCCTTAAGGAGAAGACTTAGTCACTGTTTTGCTTCAGTGTTTTCTAGGCAATGTACATCAACACTCCAATACTACTTGTGTTTAACTCGTGTACTTTTCAATGCATGGCATGCTAGTCCTTGCACTTCTTTTACAGCTGTGTGCAAAATTACAGTTGGAGCAGAGATCTGCTTGCACTGAGTAATGCACAGTGAACAACAGGACAACATCTGCATTTAAACTTTTCCTATATAAATGAGCATATTACATAATGCCTGAAAAGCCAGAGGAGAGGAATTTAACTACTTCAAAAATTGGTATTGTACCTAAGCTGATAAAAACGTCTTTTTTGACCAAGATGTATTTTTTATTTTTGGTGTAAAATGACAATGCATTCCAATTGCCTCCTGAAATGTTTTTACATCAGTTTTTCAAGTGAAAAATAAAATAAAAAAAAATAATAAAAAAAAAATCTGGATTACTCAAAAAGAAACAGAAAACAGAACTCAATCAGAAACACTTCAGTGTTGTGCCATGCAGGTTTCTACAGATTACAAACCACTGATAATGTTGTAACATAATGTTGTAACCAGTGAGTATGACAGATGAAGAAGTCAAAGGTAGCAAGTGGAAGAAAAAGTGATTAGTGTGAGAAAAATGTGCATTTTAAATCATATCTGTGTTTCACGGATTTATTCCTGTCTCAGGCTGCAACAGATGAAAGGTTGAAAAAGTGTGTTAGAGACCTTATTCCTTTTGATCATCTTGCTTCAAGTAACTGAGTTTAGTGAAATGCAAAAATTGCTGCTAAAAATATATAAAAGACAAGACTCAGATTAAGATGGTGTCATAAGACAACTCTATGGATTCTTTCTAGTTTTTTTTATAATGTGATCTCAGGGATGGGTTTAATTTGTAATTTCTGGGAATAGTCCCTCTCTCGCACTGAAGATTTTTTAATCTCCTTATGAATGTGGCTTGTGCTTTTGTAGCTCACATTAGGAAAATCGACAGTGATTTTACAGGTTCTGTAACTCATGTCATATGAGCAGTTACCTACCTTCTGTGAATTTATGGTTCATTTATTTACTTTGTTACTACAAGAACTTGTTTTCTTTAAGTTTCAGCTTTCTTTACAACAAAGTGAAAGGAATTGCAAAACCTATGTGAAATATATTTCCCATATTTTTAATGCTTGTTCTAAGATTTATTTTTCAATCTTCTCCTAATGGGAAAACTCTACTAAAAGTTACTTTAGTATAGTTAGGGACAGCATTAGATTCATTTTGCTTAATCACCTGAATCATCAAAAAGTCTATATATACTGTGAAAATGAACCATGCATAAAAAATGTCAAACCTCACAAGAATTAGCTTCCTACACTGCTAAATTTATCTCTCTTATCCAGAGATCAGAGGTGCCCCATGGATTCAAAAACCTTACTCTTCTTATAACAAGGTTTAATCATCAGATAAAGACATGTTCTGAAGTTCCTGAGCACAGCTGCTGAGGGCATGTAAGCAATAGCAGCAAACCTGTGCTTAACTTTTTGCATTCTAACACCTGCTTCTCAGCTCCCCACTATGTGAATTATGGCACCTTAGAGCCCCTTACAGTCAGTGCTACTTTTTTTTCCTCCCCATCAGGAAAAAAAATCATAAAGGAAATGGGCAAGATTTGGTAACGACAGGCATGAGATCTGTATATTAATGCAGTTAAAGACAGACACTTGGACTCTGCAAGTCGACTGCCTTTCTGTATCACACAGTCCTTGCAATGTTTTTGGACAGCTTGCTTTACTCTAAAATGTCCACCATTGGACTCATAACTTAAATGCCTCCAATGTATTTTTACATGGAGCAGTACTTTTCATTTTCTGGCCACTGTGCAAAACAGATACAATATTCTTGCAACTAATAAAATACCAGAATTTGAAAATCCTCTTTGTGTAGGGACTAAGGGGGGAATGAATTGTTTCACTGCAGCTGTAAAACTCCCATGGAGAATACTCCCTTGCCCCCCCACCTAAGAGGCCTCTCAGGCAGGTGAACAGTATCTGTAACTGGCTGCCTGCCACCCCCCCCAAGAGCACACAGTGCACGAGGTGCTGGGGTCATGCTAATAATGGGAATGGATGTGACTGGGGCTTCCTGTATGCAGCTCTCCTCTGCTAATACAATAGTCTATAAACTGCTCCAGCTGGGGCACAGTTTGCCTCAGGGCTGATCTGTCCTCTGCTGGCAGTTAGAGAGCTGCTATCAGACCTTCGATATCCAAAGCTTTTTTCCTCTACATTGCTTTCTCAGCCTCTGCTCCTTTGTATTGATGAATCCTCTCCTTTGTCCATTTTACAATATGTCAACCAGTGATGATCAGCAATAAAAATTAAAAGGGAAAAAAAAAAAAAAAACAGAGGCTGTCAGATTACTAATGCAAAAGAGAATTGTACTGAAGAAAACATTTAATCTTGGCTGTTTTGTTAGTAAGTAATGCATTAATTCCCATCCTCCTTTTTACAGCCTTCTGCTTGAAGTGACAGCTGAGGAAAAGGTAGTGCCTGCTTACTTTAAAATCTGGCGCATAACCACTAAGCACTAGGAAACTTCACCTTTGTTCATTTTGGAATCTTACTGAGTCTTTACGCTTTTCCTTTATGTGTGCTTGCTTATGATACAGAAGAGTAAACCACTGCAAATTTCACAAACCGTTCTAAAGGGACGTTGAGGTTCTTGAATGTTCTAATGTATTTAAAATGGTTTGGTGTTTTGCTTCATTAAGCCAGCTCCCTCTAGGTATGCCCTACTTATACATAAAACTGCAACAGAAAAAACATGCTTGGGGTTTTTCAAGGTTTCACCACTGGAGTCTAGAAGCTAAAGAAGTTTTGCGAGGTGGTATGAATTTCCCCTGTGACCCATTTCGAAGGAAAGGACTGCTGTCCACAGTCCAGTCAGCTGGAAACCCTGCAAACAGCCTTCATCTGTGTTGTGCTTCCAAGGGGAAAATCACTGCAAGGAAAATTGATTTTAGGGTCATTGACCCTCAGTGACAACAACATATTTTGGCCCACCCATGCAAGTAGTAAACTGTAGTGCCTCCATTCAGCCAGTTTTTAGACCAGCTTTACTATACTCATCTGTTGTGCTGTAGTCCTTCATTTCCCTAAAAGAAAGTGGATGAGTTGTAGCTGAAAACTATGTAAAAAACATTTCAATCCATACTGTCTGACATAATGACTTATGTGGCTTCTAATTGTGATTTTCAAAGCTACAAATAAGTATTTATTTACTGATCAGAAGTAGATTTTTGCATTGTGAGCTATCAGAGGGCAGGTACTGTAACTCCTAAACTGAGAGAAAAAAAAATATAGAAGGAACAGTCATTAAGCTGTTTAGTTGATTCATGTGAGTAAATTTCTGACTCAAAGTAACATGACTCTGAAAAGAACAAAGTAGTTCTGAAGAATGACAAAGGTGACCACTTTTCCCCCTCTGGGAATAAGGAAGACGTGGACCAGATGATACACTAAGGCAGTCTGTATTGCCTGGTCCTAATTTCTGAGTTGCCGTACTTAGATCTTTATGAATCTGTAGAGCTGAGCTAAAAAGCTAAAAGATTTTGTTGATTAAATTGTCTTCAAAAAAGATGCTTCAAAGGATTTTTATACTATTATTTAAACTAAATTATGGTGTAATATTAGCTGATTAAGACAAGACTTCAAACTGAGTAATTTCCATCAACTGGACATAACAGTAGTTAAAGAAATAATGACTAAATGGATAGCACCTGATGCAATTCATCATAATGTAATGTGGCACCACAGAAAAAAAATAACTTTTTTTTTCCCCAAGAGGAATAGAAAAGGAAAGCATAAAGATTAATTAGAGTATGGGTTTGTTGTGTTGTGTTGTTTTGTTTTGTATTTTTTTCTTTCCCTGAGTCATTCTTACTTATATTAGTCAATCCTTTGACTGTAGCATCACTGTACATATTTCAATGCTCCTTCCTTAAAGAATACAAAACTGTTTTTCTCCAATTACACCATCAGCTCCTCAAGGGACAGGATGTCTGGTGTTTTACATACTGTGCCTAACTCAACAGGACTTGTACCTACTGCTCTTAGAAACCAAGCTAACTGACTAATAACAGCTATATAATAGAACAAATGCTTTGAAAATGAAGTCTGTTCTCTGAAGAAAAATTTAAGATCATATAGTTTAAAAGCTTCATATGTATTTTAAAAACATATAAAGTTCAAATTATTTTGGATTCATTTGTTTTAGTTTTTTTTCTTTTATTTGGTGTTGAGTGTTTGGTTTTCTTTTCTAAGTTGTATGCTACAAGATAAAGGAGTCTTTTCCCTTCCTGGAAAAGAGCAATCCATTCTCTCTGATTAGTTGTCAGTGATACCATATCTGTAAAAGGGTCAGATATGCAGGAAGGCTCAGTAATAGGGTTTTGGAAACCAGGCTATCACAGCTGAAGTTTAACTAACCTTTGTTAGCACAGGCCATCCACTTCAGGTTATCAGCAAAAGCAGCTTCTCTTCCAATCAGATAGGTAAAGATACGAACCTGAAAGCAGAATGCAAAAGAGTACATAAATTAATACTTCATTTAAAACTTATACAGTGGAATTTCAGATACAGAGGTGTAATTCATATGGATAGACCCTTTTTAAGAAAATATTACTCGTTAAACAGCACAGCAGGTTAAAAAAAATCTCTGCCAGTAATGTCTTCATGACAAAATGTGGCTTTTGTTCTGAATGGATGATCTCTTTGGATGCTTTTAGTATCTGACTTTTCAATAAAGCTATGGTTAAACTAAAACCATTGGGGTACAAGGCAAAACTGTAGGTTTTAGATAAATCTCTTCTGCACTTATTTTCAAGGTTCATATGACAGTATCTTTTTCAGCTTAGAGAGAGGTGCCTACAGGTGGCACTTGTGCTATCAAGTGATAGATGGCAGAATCACATGCAGGGTTGCCAAATTTCCCAGAAAGAAGTATCTGTGCAAAAAGCTGTGCAACTGGTCTATGCATGTGCATGAACACAGACATACACGTGAAGACTTTCAGTCCAGAAATCCTAGAAAATTGCATCTTTCCTTAAAATTATGCCCAGATAAGATTTCTTGGCAGAGAAGAAGGGCATACTTTGAAAACATTTGGTGCAGGGTAGGCCTTGATAGATACTAAATTATAACACTTGTCTGCTGGACTCCACAGTTCCACACTGTAATAATTAAATCCAAAACTGCACTTTTGAGCAGCTTCAGAGAGCTGCCACTTAGAAAGCAAAGGGAGATTTCCAGTGAAATATTTCTCTCTTTACCATATGATTTTCTTCATTCTGTCTTATAAAACAGAGAAAGGTTCAGGGTTGTGTTATTTTACAAGCCTTGAAAACAGCTACAAATTTGTCCTCACCGTAAACTGATGACAGCATTTTCTACCTCAGATCTTCTGCTCTCAACCCTATTCTATACATGGAAAATTCCAACAAAGGTAATTGAGTAGGTTTTACCTACATAAATAGTGAATTAGGAGCGTGTTGGAGCATCTTGTCCAGAGCTTCCTCTACCTTATAATACAAGTTTGCATGGCACTCAAAGCCCCAGTATTCAGGTTGGGTCTGTAACCACCTGCATGTTTGCTGAGCAAAGAAATCACTGTCCTGGGTCCAAACCTATTCTAACTAGAAACCCTACAAAGTTCCATAACTTCTTCATCTCCCATTTGGTATAACTGTGTAAAATGGAGCCTAGTGAACCCCACTTGAGCCGACTAAGCTCCCACCAAAAGAACTTGGAGTAGCACCTCACAGCTACAACTAAAGTCCATATTCTGCCCACTGTAGCCCTTGCCATGCCAAGGATTATGCCTCTCATTCCATGTGCCTAAACTTCCACAACCATTTTCTCATTCCTTAATGATTTTTCCAAGCGAAAGAGGACAAGCGCATACTAGACCATATTAGCAAGATGAATACAAGTTGATTATTCCCTTCTATAGCACTGTAAGAACACATCTGAAGTATTGAACTCAGTTTTGGGTTCCCCCATACAAGACAGGCACTAACATACTGCAAAAGACACTCTTGAAGGTGGACTCTAAGAGGACAACACAGCAAGGGAGTTCAGAAGATGATCCTAAAGAATTCTGATTTGGTACAAGGAAAAATGCTTTTCTCATGAGAGTGATAAAATACTAGAAAACATTGCCCAGAAACACCACAGAACCTACATCCTGGGAGATATGCAAAATCTGACCAGACAAGTTCCTGAGTAGCTCAATCTAACTTCACCTGCTCTGAGCAGGGCACTGAAGAAGATGACCTTCCAATCTGAATGACTCTATGAAATCAGCAATATTTTACACAAGAGATTAAAAATTTGACTAATTTTCTGGAAATTTGTAGCTGCAAACATGATGCTAGCATTATATATGAGAAGAAAGGAAATTATGAACTCCATATTGTAACACTAAAAACTGTAACTAAATCCCACCACATCTTTTTATCTTTTTAACAGTATACTTAATAGAAACATCATTATCCAAACTTTTACAGAAACTCTGTTATCATCATTAAAAAGTTACTTTGTACACAACAAAATATGCTCCAGAACAATTTATTCAATAGCTAATTGGGTCTCATACTCACAAAATAGACATGCTTAAATTACACAGAAGGAAATGTCATGATTTGAGAAGCTTATGAAGCCCTCTAATTTAATTGATTTGCAATTAAAAAAGAAAATAAAATTATTTGTTTTTAATTGGCACTTTTTCCTCACTCATAGTGAGGCAAAAGATATTATTTGTAGAATATACCAATTTTATATTAAGTTCTCATAGTTCTTTTTTTTTTCCACAGAACAGGTTTTAAAATGTTTCTGAAACATTCCATCTTTACTGTCAGTTGTGATACTGTATTTCCTCACTGCCCTTTTGACCATTTTCTTAACAGCCAGATCCTGTTTCTAGACATACATGATGTTTTGCATTATTATCATGCCTAGAGACCAGATTTCAATCACAAAACTTTTCCCAGTCTTCGACATAGAATTCGATCATGATTTGTATTGTTTTAAAAGTATACACACTGATTGTACAGTGTTGTTAACTATTTGGATCAAACAGCATGCACAATCCTACTTCAAGACTAAAGAGCACAGCATTAACGAATGGTACTTCCATGCCTTGTTGATGTGTATGAAAAGCATTAAGAAAATCTTATTCTCTAAACACTCATGAAAGGGCACAGTGAGATTTATACCCTCAAAATGCAGCATAAATCACTGTCGCAGTTTATCTTCCTGAAAATGATGCTTGAGTATAGCCTGTGATGAGACTGAGTACCTCTGAGAGATTTATATTTAATGATCTGCTTTAATCTATAAAGAATCAAACTACACAGTGTTCCTAATAAAAGGGGACCAACCTTATCTGAAAGGATGAGCAGTAAGTATTATGCCAGACATGGGCAGCAAACTAACTGCATTAAACCTACAAAAATTTGAACAAATCGGTATCATAGATCATCATGAGAAGTGGGCTGCCTCTGTCATACTGTTGCAAGAATTGTAATGATTTTTTCCTAAGACCATTTTATATATATAGTTTACCTGGTACATGCAGTTTTGTTGGGAAATATTTTAAGCACCATAAAAATAATGCTAAGTGTTTGGCATTACTTGAAAAAATAAAAATAAAAATATAGGCTATAAAAAGTAGAGAGCTAGCACTGAAAATGAGTGATCAGTTTATTTGCTGTTTTCCTTCCCTATCCCAACGAGTTGTGTATTTTTCCCTATGCACTTTTCAGTGTGCATGTTATATAAATGATGCTTACCAGTGTTAACATAAAGTATAAAATCTTCTGTAAAATAAGGTAATTTCAAAATACCATTTCTGTAATGCTTATTACATAATAAAATAACTTATTATTCATAGGAGTTTCATCAGAAAATAATGTAAGATCCCAGGAAAATATTTCAGTTAAAAATAATGCCACTGATAAATTAAAGTTTTTCTTTTACATTGATCTTAAAGACACATTAATAGGTATTATGAATATTGCTTAATACTCCATTCAGAATAGTGAGAAAAATCCTCAAAATGAGCTCTGATGGCAAACAGTTCTGATTATACTTCTGTTTCTGAAAGTTTCATTTGATCAGTTCACTGAACCAAGCAGTGTAAACTTTAGCTACTGCGAGCTTGCAGTGGGAAACATTCACGAGTGTCAAACCATTCACTGTAGAAGTAACTCTACAAAAAAAAAAATGTTTGCCATATTATTTTCTGCTTTCAGAGATCACAGCAATGGCTTAAGTAATAATTTATTAGAACTGAAACTTGCCTGAGTAAGTCTACATTTTAAACACCGTTTTTCAAAAGAAACAGATCTATGTATCTTTTATACTAGTTTTACTCTTCTGGACAGTTGTTTTATGTAATAATTCTAGAGGTGCTGGTACCACCATGCTATAATAACAATAAATAGGGACAAAGTTACTGTGGTCATATACCTGTTTTCTACAGCTATATAAAAATATAACTAAGTCACTATCACAGAAGTACAACATTAATTTACTACGATAAGTTCAAATTAATTCAGCTTCTCCACATGGACAAGACCTATGCAGCGATAGGCTATGCATGCTGCAAAACAGGACAGTGTCACAGCTGCCACTAAACACTAGGTACCAGATTCAGTATCCATCCATAGTCTCAGATACCATGTCAGATAAACGTTAGGTAAAAACTGAATAGTGACCACCAAATTTTCTTCTTTGTGTATTGAAGTAACTGAAAAGCATGTCAGAGCAGTTTTGCTCTGCAAAATTGTTTCATGAAATGTCTATTTTATTCAAACAATCCAGATATGGCAGCATAGTCTACTGATAAATATATATAGTACTGAGGCATATGATTAAAATCTGTATAAATTATAATAGATGGGGAAATATAAAGTGTGTCTCATTCTGTGGTTTGTATTGGACCTTAAAGAAAATAGCACAATGGAAACCACAAGCTGTAATAAGTATATATATTATATACATACACGTACTCTGATAAACCTATATCTGTATCTTATTAAACAACATTTAATATTAGGGCCCTAAAAACTCTTTCAAATCCATATGAAAAGAACATTTTAGTCAAGGCAGACTGAATAAATTCAAAGTTGTTATGGGCCAGTCCCAGAAGATCCAGTAACAACATTTACATAGTCTACATATGCTCTGCCTAAGTGAGTATAAGGCAAATGAGAAAAACACCTTTGAATATTCAAGTACTGTGACTGAATCAAGAGACAATTTTCACCTAAGAATGACTCTGCATCAGAGAGTAGAAGTACCTCTCTGGCAAGAAACATAAAACAGAAAGCAAGCCCTTCAGTTCTGTGTAATTTTGAAAGCTTTATAAAGATACTTGGATCTAAATATTTTCAATATCTGACCTGTAACATATATCAGCAATATTAAAGCTTAAAATGAACTGTTAGCTCTGGAGAAAGGAAGTATTTGCAGGCAGAAGCACTGTTTTGAATTGTTATATGCTAT